AAGTTTTTGGCCTGGTCAATGGAAGAGAGAAGAAAAGAGATAGTGACAAGAAGCAGCAACAAGGCAAGAAGCGTGGTAAGAGGTAGTTGGATTCCTGGCAAGGAAGACAAAATGACAAACCCTCTTCCTCTAGTGAGTGGCAGCCCACGCCTGGGAGTCAGAGGACAATAGGATATTAAAGTGAGTGCACTCCCATTAACCTGCTTAGAGGAGCTGAGTTATCTTGGCCTCGCCCTGCTTTTTTGGAAAGAAGCATTTGTTTGATAAACAGGAAGTCGTTTCCATGGGTGTAGGAAGAAGAAATGATAGAACTGAGTGGCAGAGCAAAGAATTGCTAGCTGGGGTTAGTTTGGAACTGGCACAAGTTTTTCAGGTGGTCACCTAAGATGAGCACACATCCTGCCTTCTCCCCTTTCTTCACTGAAATGTGAGGTTTCTGCCTATTGCTTGTTCTGCCGTCAGGGTATGTTCATTTTCAGCTAGTGTTTTGCATCAGCTGTGAGTCGTAGACTTAGCAGACAAATGGAGACACTGTCTGAGTGGAAAAGTGACTTATTTTAAGAAATGTTGGCTCCCCACCACTATCCCATTAGTGGCATACCTCTGACACTCCATTGAAGCTGGCCTAGGGAAGCTAAGACTGGCTTCTGTGTATTTTTGCTCTTTGAAAGGTTAGAACCTAAATGTACCACAAGATATTTTCTTTCTGAGTAAGATTGGGATAAAATTACAAACAGTGAATTCTGAAGCAAACTTATATGCTGGTGCTCTAATACTTTAGAAACTTCAAAATTGATTTCCTATACTTGTAGCAATATTACTCTTCGTGGGATATGGAAATCTCTTAGTATCACTCATTTCTTTTCATTTTGCAAGGAAAGGCAGACCAAAAATAAAGAAGACCAGTGCCAAGTTATGGTGATTGGAAAGTGAGAAAGAGAACTTAGACTCTTTTTGCTTTTGACAAGCGCTTGAAACAGGAGAATCATTTTTTTTTCCTTTTAATGGAGAATCACCTTATCCCTGTCTGTACATCCTTGGAGTAAAGTTCTAGTCAAAGACAACTTTGAATTTGTCCCAGACCTATAAAGGCAACTAAATAGATAAGTAGTTGATTGATGGTGAAAAAAACTTAGTGTGATGGACTTGACTTTACACAGCAGGTGTCTAATTGAGGTTTGCTTAGATTGGTTGGATGGGGAGGGGACAAGAATCTCGCTGGGGTTATGGCTGCAGTGTGGATGATTGGGATGAGGATACGGGTGGTATTCGTGGCTCAGTATTTAGGAGAGCTAGCTCACTGCATTGCCTGGAAGAAGCAGAACAACTCTAGAGTTCCTTGCAATTAGAGTTTACGCAGACAAGGTTCAACATATATTTTACTTTGCATATTGAGTGCATTCAGGAGCCATTTGGTTTCGTTTGCCTTCAGAAAGTACTGCAGTATTTGTTAAAATGCTGTGACTGTGTGTTAAGTCCAGGCCGGGCTACAGCTCTGGATTTCTTCACCGAAAGTTAAATATCACATTTGAACTTGAAGAATGTTTGCCGCCTGCCTCTAGAGCATATACGAATATAAAGCAGCCATTTGTCAGCAAGCAGCTGAAAGGCAATTTTCAGCAGGGACTGAAAACCGCTGCAGGCTGCTGGCTTCCTGGCACACCCACTAGACCTCATAGGTTTACAGTGAAAGCAAACCAATGGGAGTAGGGGTTGGGGGGATAAGATGGGCAAAAATCAGAGCAGAGGATTAGGTGTGAATGAGGTTGAGTCACCAAAAGGGGCTTGTATGTGAAGAGCACAGTGCTCTCAAAGAGAAGAAGAAAACTCGAATGCCAAACACAATGGCTAGGAGCAAGTATCTCATGCGAACACTTTTTTGAAAAAAGTGATTTGTTCTATAAGTGTATTTAGAGTCCAGAAAAAAAAGTGATTTATCTTCTTTGCATCTATAACTGTAGGGTGGACCTTTTAAAAAATGTCTTTTGCAACATCTTTGAAAGTGAAAGTTTTGACATATGAGACTCTTTTTTTGAGATGGACTCTCTCTCTGTTGCCCAGGCTGAGTGCAGTGGCAATATCTCAGCTCACTGCAACCTCTGCCTCCCAGGTTCAAGCGATTTTCCTGCCTCAGCCTCCTGAGGTGATTACAGGCGCCCACCACCATGCCCAGCTGATTTTTTGTATTTTTAGTAAAGACAGGGTTTTAGTGTGTTAGCCAGAATGGGCTTGATCTCCTTACGATGCACCCACCTTGGCCTCCTGAAGTGCTAGGATTGCAGGCATGAGCCACCGCACCCAACTGACATATGATAATCAGAGTACATGTTTATTCCCAAATATTCTTTTCTGTCTTTGGGTATAGCATGCAGCAGAGTTCACTTCTATTTAGCAGATCAAGAGGTGGGGTTTTGGCAGGCTAAATGATTTGTCCGGGACAACCGATGTGTCATTGTAGAGAGAAAACAGAACGAGGCTGCATTCCACCAGCTTCTGGCCTGTATAACAGTTTTGAGAAATTTCCAACCATTTTAGGAAAACAAGGTACTTAGAAATTTATAAAGAGTTTCATAATAAAAGAAAATTACTTATTTTGGAAATCATAAAATTAATCATTCTGCAGCATTTAAGAAGCGCTTTGATGTGTTCTGGTAATTAGTATTTACTGCCAGACGAATGTCTCTTGGGCATTTTAATTAATGGGTAGCTTGGCCAAATGAGCTTCTGATGGTAAACCTTCATAAGAGTTTATTTTTATGTTTCTCAAGAATAGCTGTCTCTTCAAAGCTCTTTAATTAGACAAGGTTTAGCAACTAAAACATATTATTAGAATAATTAGGCCTTGGGTTAAGAGAAGTAGGGGTCAAAGCAGCAGGTACTGTTAGAAAATGGCCTTTTAAAACATAGCGTTCTACCTCTGATGGATGGCCAGCTCTTTCACAGCTTATGTTAAGTTACTCTCCCTAGTTGGGACTTCGTGTTGTTTAAAGTTCATAGCAGACCTCACCGGAAGGCTAAACACACCCAAGTGGGAGCTTACTTATCCCCACCTCTGACCTCCCGGGGAAAGCTTGATTCTAGTCCTTTTAACTGCTAAGTGGAAGACTTCTTATTTTATTCCTTTTTTCTATTAAATTGGTAATCTTGCCTATAACAATGACTTGGTTTTTTTGAGGGAGATGCTTCAAAAGCCTTGTATTGTGAACAAAAATCACAATAATTCCTTTGAGGATCTTTCTTTCTTTCTTTTCTTTCTTTCTTTTTTTTTTTTTGAGACGGAGTTTCGCTCTTGTTACCCAGGCTGGAGTGCAATGGCGCGATCTCGGCACACCGCAACCTCCGCCTCCTGGGTTCAAGCAATTCTCCTGCCTCAGCCTCCTGAGTAGCTGGGATTACAGGCATGCGTCACCATGCCCAGCTAATTTTTTGTATTTTTAGTAGAGACGAGGTTTCACCATGTTGACCAGGATGGTCTCGATCTCTTGACCTCGGGATCCACCCACCTCAGCCTCCCAAAGCGCTGGGATTACAGGCTTGAGCCACCGCGCCCGGCCTGAGGATCTTTCTTAATGATTTACATTACCTACATACAAGACATGATCTTAAAGTGACTATAGTATTTGCATTCCAGAATGTTACAGTCCTTGTGGTCGGAATGCAGTTTGAATTATTTTACAGTCTGCTCTGTAGATGGGTCAGTATCTAGCTCCTCTTCTTCAGCCTTCTCCCCTGCCTTTTCTTGCCACAAGCGTTCAGTCTTGGCAGTTATTGCTAGTAAATATGTGCTACCCTGAAATTCCTCTTCGTGGTGAAGGAAAGATACACCTGACTGGTCCTGTGAGTGAGATGTTGCCAAACAATTGTGTATTCTTACCAAAAGTACTGTTGATAAATAAACAGCAGTATATTTATCTATATTCCCTCATTTTTCACTTTCCTACCATCTCCGAATGCTTAGGATGGCAAATATGTCCTTTTCCCAGCTATATCAGTTAATTAAAGGACGGTGCTCATGAGACTATTAGCCATTTCTAACAGCACCACTGTATCACAGCTGACACTTCTAATCTCTTTAGCTGTCATGACCGGTCCGTATTGTTGGTTTGATAAAGAACTGAGTCACAGATATGTATGTCGTTGGTTTGGTCTAAATCTACTGCCATTATTGGAAAGTTCTTAAAGAACCTACTAATCCATCAGATCATTTTTGAATATTGAAGATAGCCTGCTTTATAGTATTATAGATTTTATCACATTTAAGTTCTTTTGCTATACCTTAGTTAACAACATGGCCAGTGGACTGATTTTATTTAAGTTGGTAGAACTTGACTTGGTTTTTGATTGATGCTATCTGTAAAAATTAACATTCTTCAAGGACCGTTTGGTAAGCCCCATAAATGCAGATATAAAGATATAAGTATATCACTATGCGCTCCAGAGAACAGTGACTGAGTGTGTTTTTATGTCAAATGGAAGAACTTTGAGAAAGCAGAAGAGATAGTAACCTAAACAGAGTGCTCTATCCAGCCCCTTAGCAGTGACTAATTTCTGTCCACTCTTTCCGTAAATGATTGAATATTGGGGCCTTGCTTTTTTATCTCCCCTTTGACAGGAAGTATTTCTGGTGCTTACCTTCACGTGTGTGTTTGTTCATGTCTATAATCTTCTGCAGTGGGGATATGAAAAGAAAGGTATTTAGTTCTGTGATCCTTGAAAAACACCTTATAACCCTCAGAACTCTCTTTTCCAAATGAAAGTAATGTGTTCTTATGCATGCTTTTGTGTAACAGGATTTATACTTAAAATAGTTTGGCTATTTATTACTAATAAATTTTTATAGCTGCAAACCAGGACTATCAATATGTTGTTCTGTCTTTGTTCATTTTGCTTCTTTAACTCATTCATTTGAGAGGGCCCCTTGTAGCCCTCCTTAAAAGTCTACCTTTTGAAATTACACAAGTGTCTAGAATGAAAACTGACTGTATTCTTCTTCAACACAGACCACCTGGTGGCCCATGGTAGAATGGCAGAAAAGGAGGCACGTCGGAAATTCAAACAGATCGTCACAGCTGTCTATTTTTGTCACTGTCGGAACATTGTTCATCGTGACTTAAAAGCTGAAAATTTACTTCTGGATGCCAATCTGAATATCAAAATAGCAGGTGAGAACTGTACTGAGGTTGTGTGATAGGGACAAAGGAGTTTTTCCTTTGGAACTCTTAAAGCAAGGGATTATCTATTTCCATCTATTGCGAAAGAACTGTTGTGAAAGTAAATTTAAGCTTTACAAAACCAGTCTGAAAATTGATAAACTTTAAAAGTATTTTTTTTCCCCCAAGACTGAGTTTTGTTGTCACTCAGGCTGGAGTGCAGTGGTGCAGTCTCAACTCACTGCAACCTCCATCTCCTGGGTTCAAGTGATTCTCCTGCCTCAGCCTCCCAAGTAGCTGGGATTACAGGTGTGTATCACTACACCTGACTAATTTTTATATTTTAGTAGAGATGGGGCTTTGCCATGTTGGCCAGGCTGGTCTCAAACTGCTGACCTCAAGTGATTCACCTGCCTTGGCCTCCAAAAGTGCTGGGATTACAGGCGTGAGCCACCACGCCTGGCTCATTTATTTTTAATGTAGTATCAGCTGGAACTAGGCTGGGGAGAAAGAAAGGAAAGGGTAATGTTGAAAATTATCCTTTTACCCAAAACTATTACTTTGGTTAACAGGTCCTTTTTAAATAGTAAGAAATAAAATATGTAATAAAGTAGAAAGGAAAACTGCTAAAATTGTATACCCTCCTCTCACCTTCACTTGAGAAGGTTGATTTATGTATTTATGTCACTGTTGACACAGAGAATACTTTTTTCTTTTCTTTTCTTTTGAGACAGTGTCTCACTCTGTTGCCAGCTGGGGTGCAGTGGTACAATCTCGGCTCACTACAACCTCTGACTCCCTGGTTCAAGGTATTCTCCTGCCTCAGCCTTCTGAGTAGCTGGGATTATGGGCATACGCCACTACACCTGGCTAATTTTTGTATTTTTAGTAGAGACAAGGTTTCACCATGTAGGCCAGAATGGTCTTGATCTCCTGACCTCGTGATCCACCCACCTCGGCCTCCCAAAGTGCTGGGATTTACAGGCGTGAGCCATTGTGCCCAGCCCAGAGCATACTTATTCTAAAGGCTATAATTTTGTGGTAATTTAGGAAAAATAGATCTTATAGTGGTTTATAGGCAGTCCAGCTTTTTGTCTTCTCAAATTCTACTATTCTGCTTATCTGATAGTGCCTAAAAAGCACTTTTCACTGCCTCGATCTGCTCATGGTTAATTTTAGTAAACTGTCAGCATTTTGCCTAATGAATACAAACTCACCATTTACTGATAGAAGAAAGTGACTGAAATATATATAGAAACTGTAAATATGAAAGTAAGCCATTCATGTTTGCTGACACTTTCCGGTATTGCATTGCGTATCCCTGTCTCCCCGATTAAAGGAAGGCCATCTCGTGTAGAAAACTGAAATATAGCTAGAATGTCACTGTCTTAAAAATGCAAGGTGTAAAGCAGTTCTAAGGATTTTCTTCCTGAGTAGAGGTGGGATTTGAGAGTTCGGATTTTTGTTACAGGTCACAGTGACCTAAGGGTACCTTTGCAGGGTCATGCTGCTTCTGACGGTTGCTTTTGGGTAGATAAGCTCCTTCACTTTCATATGCTAAAGAATCACCCAGCTTTCTACTTACCTGAAGCTGATGGCTACGCTTTTATTTAGAAGTTTCGCATCATTTATGAGTTCTTTGAGTCCTGCACTAGCTTATTACAGAGAGTACACAGGAATTAAAGGCTTTCTTTATCTTATATAAAATCATGTTTTTCCTTTGTCCTCATGTCTTTTATTTTCCCCAAATCTCTCTAGATGCTAGTAGTTCCTACAGAGGTGTGTGCATGGAAAGGCCGGGCAATTTCAAACCTTCTTTTGTAATTATTTGTTGTAGCTTCAATTAAATTAATAGTAATAATACCTGTTACACTTCAGAACCCTTTAAACTGTAATAAAATATTGATTAATGGCTTATCATGACTATAACAAATTACCACAAACTTAGTGATTTGAAAAAACACAGATTTGTTAGCCTGTAGTTCTGGAGGTCAGAAGTCCACACTGAGTTTCATAGGGTGAAAATGAAGACAGCAGCAGGGGCCACTCCTCCTGGAGGCTCTGAAGGGAAAATGTGTCCTTGCCTTTTTCAGCTTCTGGAGGTCACCTGCCTTCTTTGACTCAGCCCCTTCCTTCCATCACTCCAACCTATGACTTCCATCGTCCTATCTCCTACCCCTAATTCTGACCCTCCTGCTTCCTTCTTGCAAGGACCCTTGTGATTACATTGGGTTGTCTCAGATAATCCAGGATCATCTCTCTCCCACCCCCACCGTTTTCTGTTTTTGTTTTTGTTTTTGAGACAGGATCTCATTCAGTCGCCCAAGCAGGAGGGCAGTGGCATGATCTCGTCTCATTTCAACTTCAGGCTCCTGAGTTCTGAGACTACAGGTGTGCACCACTATACCCAGCTAATTTTTGTATTTTTAGTAGAAACAGGGTTATACCATGTTGCTCATACTGGTCTCGAACTCCTGGCCTCAAGCAGTCCTCCCACCTTGGCCTCCCAATGTGCTGGGATTACAGGCATGAGCCACTGCATCCAGCCTCATCTATCTCCCCATTTTAAGATCCTTAATTTAATCATGTTAATACAATCCTTTTTACCATGTATGGTAACACGCTTACAAGTATGGGGGATTGGGATACAGATGTATTTGGGGGGCCATTATTCAGCATGACACAGATATCATTGTAAGGCTCTTTGATTATTGATTAGGGTAGTGAGTTAAAAGAAGGCCCGCTTTATATTGTCTAGTTGTATTCTCCCTCTGCTGACCCAAGCTTAACAATTTTCTTAATGCTCCCTTGGTTCTTGATTTTGAATTTAGGATTATTTTGATTTAGTTAACGAAATTTCTTTCTTTCTTTTTTTTTTTTTTTTTTGAGATGGAGTCTTGCACTATGGTCCAGCCTGGAGTACAGTGGCTCAATCTCCACTCACTGCAACCTCTGCCTCCCAGGTTCAAGGGATATTCTCCTGCCTCAGCCTCCTGAGTAGTCGGGATTACAGGCACCTGCCACCACTCCCGGCTAATTTTTTGTACTTTTAGTAGAGACGGGGTTTCATTATGTTGGTCAGGCTGGTCTTCAACGTTTCACCTCATTATCCGCCCACCTCGGCCTCCCAAAGTGCTGGGATTACAGGTGTGAGCCACGGCACCATAGGCCGTTAAGGAAATGCCTTTAATAGAATGCAGCATAGTCCGTTAAGGAAATTTCTGTATCCTTTAGTTTTTACATTGAGAAACTCAGAGTAAAAACAAAGATTATTGATCATTGAAATTGGAAACTACTGACATATTTGAGTAAAGTTGTTTTTTTTTTTTTGAGACAGAGTTTTGCTCTTGTTACCCAGGATGGAGTACAATGGCGCGATCTCGGCTCATCACAATCTCCGCCTCCTGGGTTCAGGCAATTCTCCTGCCTCAGCCTCCTGAGTAGCTGGGATTACAGGCACGTACCACCATGCCCGGCTAATAAATTTTTGTATTTTTAGTAGAGACGGGGTTTCACCATGTTGACCAGGATTGTCTCGAACTGTTGACCTCGTGATCCACCCACCTCGGCCTCCCAAAGTGCTGGGATTACAGGCTTGAGCCACCGCGCCCGGCCGGGTAAAGATTTTTAAAGACTTGTTTTAGTTAATAGTTAAAACAAATTCAAGAGGTCACAGTGAGAGTGTCTACTTGCTGATACATAATTACAGACTCCTGGGGTACTGGCAGCCAGCCTTGGGCTCTCTCTGTGTTAACACATTTACTTTGGCAAGATTTTTAAGTTCATTAACCCAAAATGTACATTTTTATTATTTAAGAGCAAAACAAAAAAATTAAGAGCACCTCTAGTTTTGTGGCCTGCTACAATACCTAACATTAGCTTTGCTCATGCATTCTTTCCCTTACCTGCCATCATTACTCAGTTTCTCAGTCATTGCCTGAACCTTCTTTCTTGCACATAAATTAAATAGAATTCTCATTCTCACCTGCCAGTTCTTTATTGAAATTAATGGACTAGTGGGAGAAATGCTTCTAGTTGCAGCCAACTAGAACATGACTAATTTTGGAGAGGTAGGTTGGATGTTTTTGACAGGATAAGGTCAGATAGGTAACGAAATCAACTTTAATTCTAAAAGCCCAAAGTAACTTTCAGATTTTTGTTCTTTTCAATGGCTTCCATTTTGATAATGTATTTTAAATCTCATTAAGAAGAAACTACTATATATGAAAGAAACATATAAGAGGGAAAAAGGTTTTTTTGGTTTTATTTTAAGAAGTTAGTCTTGACCGGGCACAGTGGCTTGCGCCTGTTAATCCCAGCACTTTGGAAGGCCAGCTCGGGCAGATCTCCTAAGGTCAGGAGTTCGAAACCAGCCTGGCCAACATGGTGAAACCCTGTCTCTACAAAAGTACAAAAATTAGCTGGGCCTGATGGTGGATGCTTGTAATCCCAGCTACTTGGGAGGCTGAGGTGGAAGAACCACTTGAACCTGGGAGGTGGAGGTTGCAGTGAGCCAAGATTGTGCCAGAGAGTAAGACTCCATCTCAAACAAAAAAAAAAGAAGTTAGTCTTAAGCAGCTCATCTTTAAAATAATCAGATATGCTGCAGTAGGAAAATAACTTGGAACTAATAAAATTCAGATTAGAAAGTGTAAGATTCATGTTTTTATGCCATTGTTTGCCTAAGTGGTTTTAATGAAAATACGCATCCAATTCAGTGTAGAAGACGAATAAATTGGTCTGTGAATATTTTTGTTTACATTAATTTATTTTTACTTTTATATTAATTAATGTGGCAATTTACATTTGATACTGTTTATTTGTTTGTTTTGTAGAGACAGAATCTCACTATGTTGCCTAGGCTAATCTCAAACTCCTGGTCTCAAGCAATCCTCCTGTCTTAGCCTCCCAAAGTGCTGGGATTATAGGTGTGATACACCATGCCTGCCCTTTGCCCTCTTTTTTAAGAGCCTGGGTCACCTTCTCTTGCCTAGGCTGGAGTGCAATGGCAT